TAAGATAAATAAAATTATTTATCAGATTTTATGTTTAGAGAACATATGTATGACCTAATGAATCTTTACCCAGTTACAAACAGCACATGTCTTTAGTTTAAAACCTGTAGAACTATAGCAACTTAAGGATGTAATCCTTTAAAAAATGAAAAAAAAAAGATTTGAAATAGCTGCCTTATTTAGGTGTAAGTACTCTACGGCCTCCTGTTCTATGCACATTATTACTCATATGAATTCACAGCAATGATGACAATATGCACAAGTCCTATGCAAGCTCAAACTGGACAAAATCCCAGCATAGACATGGGGAAGTGGTTAAGAAATTTCAACCCAACCTAAGGAACTTTTGGTAATTGGTGGCCACTGGGAGGGGAAAAGACAATGTATTGCAAGGTTAGGACTCTTGGTGGGCCCAGTAAATGAATCCACACTGAAAGACATTGGGGGACACAAATCAGACTCTATAGGCAAGATAGATAGATGATAGATAGATAGATAGATAGATGACAGATAGATCACAGATATAGGTAGATAGATGATAGATTAGATAGATAGATGATAGATAGATAGAAGATAGATAGATAGATAGATAGATAGATAGATAGATAGATAGATAGATAGATAGATATGAGAGTTTATCCAATTGGGTGGGGGTGTGGAGGCTGCAGAGCAGGGAGTGGATCTAAATGCCATCAAACCATAGTGTATGAAAATTGAAGAAAGTGATTTTTTTTATCTTTTTGAGACAGGGTCTCCCTGTAGCTGTCCTGGAACTCACTATGTAGACCACGCTGGCCTCGAACTCACAAAGATCTGCCTGCCTCTGCCTCCCAAGTGCTGGGATTAAAGGCGTTCGCCACCACGCCCGGCAAGAAACTGAATTTTTAAAATGCAAAAAAATAAGAAAGGAAAAAAGGAAAAGGGCTGGGTGAAATGGCCTATGCCTTTATTCCCAGCATTCAGGAGGCAGAGGTAAGAAGATCTCTATGAGTTTGAGGCCAGCCTCGTCTAAATAGAGAGTTCCAAGCCAGTAGGAGCTGCACAGTTAGACCCTGTCTCAGAGAGAGAGAGAGAGAGAGAGAGAAGAAAAAGGGCCAGTGAGATGGCTCAGCAGATAAATATTCTTGCTGCCATCTTGATGACCTGAGTTTGATCCCCAGAACCTCTATGTAGAAGGAGAGAACCAGAACCAATTCACACAAGTTTTCCTCTGATCTCTACACATGCACCACACACATACACACACAAGAGAATGGATACATAAATGTAAAACATTTTTACTGAAAAAAGGTAAAGCTAAAAAATGAAAGAAGACATTTGTAATAACAAAATACAGACTAACATTACTATTTGGATGTGAAATGCTGCCAACAGGCCACAGTTTGAACACTTAGTCCCCAGGCAATGGCACTGTTTTAGGAGATTGTGAAACCTTTGGGAGGTGAGGCCTAGGTAGAGGAAATGGGATGCTGGGGGTGGGGTGTGGTGAGGCTCATAGCCTGGCCCCACATCCTGTCTCCTCTCTGCTTCCTAATCTGCCCAGTTAGGAGCAAGCTCCCAATGTACCAGCCATGAGCTGCTCTTGCCACCATGTCTTCCCCACCTTGACAGACTGGACCCTCTCACACCATGAACCAAAATAAGCCTTCTTCCCTGAAGTTGCTTCTTGTCAGGCATTTTCTCACACCAACTAGAAAAGTAGCTAATATAACCAGAAGGTACAGAAAAGAAAAACAGCCCAATAAAACGTCAGAGCAGTGGAACAGTCTATCAGTGAGAGGAGAGACAGTATGTGAATCCAAGGTAGGCGGTCAACCTCATCAGCCACAACGCAGGATCCCTTTATTCCCTCAGAGCAGGAGAAATCCAGCTCTCCTAATCAAGGCTAATGAGAATGAGCACCTGGGCTCTCCTGCGCCCCTGCTGCAAAAGCTTATTAGGCTTAAAAACAGTCTGTTGCCAGAAGATAAATCTACCCAGCAATTTCCTCTCAGTTATGAACCAGGAAGGAACTTGTATTAGGGGTTGGGTGCAAGTATGAAAGGAAAGTAGGGTGTAGGGAAAGCAGCACCAAGACACATATGAAAGAAGCCAGTTTGCAGAAAGACTGAAAGCCCTTCCCCACCACAGCTACATATAACAAACAGCGTGCCCAAGAAAAGCTCCAAGACTGGGAGAAGGCAGATGTTATGTAAAGGACCTATAAGGGGACATAACACTGGGGACTGGGGGGCTTTGACCTTTGGATTCGTCCAAGCTCACCAATTACCAAAAGTACTTCCATTCTTGCGAGTGCTTTTCCTCTCTCTTTCATGATATACTGTATCCCTGGTCCAATTCTTTGTTTGGGTTACAAGAACCTGGAAATCATCCAAGTGACCTCTGAACCCAGATCTATAACTATATCAGCTGGCCAGCCAGAAGGTGAGCACAAAATGCTTTCCAACTTCTCTCTCTTCTTTAACAAGAGCATTTGTCTCCACCTTCCTTCCCCTTCCCTCCCTATTTCACTTTCCCCAGAGCACTTAGAAATGGTGGGAAAGCTCCCAAGAAAGGCCTGATGATAGTTTGGCGGCATCAGATTCAGTCTCTCCCCCTCGTTTTCTTTTCCTTCCTTAGCTTGTGGTGCTTATGGCTGGAAGCCCAGGGTGTGCCTGGACTCTGTCTCCTGCTCCACAGGGTCATTAGCTGAGCTTAGAAAAAAGAAGTGCATACATTAGCTGGTGGCTACCAAGCCTACACTTTAAACTGGGAGGCAACTTCCAGGAGGATCAGCCTTTAAACTGCGGAGGCCCACAAAGATTCACAGCAACCTTGGCCAAGTCTGGAAGATGCATTGAACCACATCCCTCCTCCCAGACTAATACTCCAATGATAATTGGGCTTGTGTCAGAGTTGCCTGCTGACCATGGGTAATTTATCAACTGTACCAGCCAAAGATGATGATGGTCACAAGACCAGTCAAAGATGGTTATAGTCACATGGCCAACCAAGATAGTCATGATCACATGGCCAACAAAAATATTAGCACTAGATGGGCTCAGCCATGGTGGAACTAACAAAGACAGTGAGAACCTTGAGGTAGCTAATGTCACTGAGTCTCCTGAGCACAACTGAACCCCCGGCTTACCCGTGCCACCAGCATTCTCATCGCCCCACTGCCTACCCCACTCATCCTCACTTCTATCTTTCTTTCGCCTTCCCAGAGGCCCACCAGGACAATGAGGATGGGCAACTCAGATGAGGTTCTGGTGTGGGCACACCTGCCAGCTTCACTTGTTGACCAGGAAACAAATACTATAGTTATTTCTGCTTTGTCATACCCTACCTGATCTCAAATTTAACTTATCCATTTACTGTAGGCAATACTATCCCTGAGGATATGGAGATAATTCCCTAGGGTTAGGGTAATAAGACATTCCATGGATCCTGAGATATAAAAAGAAAAAACCCACCTATTGCCCGTTTTAACCTTGATGGCAATCTAAAAACAAAAGCTGCTGCCATTCGCACAAGCAAGCTGCTTCTGTGAACCTAGGAAACTAATAACTCAGCCCTCTTTTTTTATAACTTGTGCCATGGTGTACACAAATACACACAAACACACACACACACACACAAAATGTAATAAAATTTCCTTTAAAAAGAAGAAAGAAAGAAAGAAAGAAAGAAAGAAAGAAAGAAAGAAAGAAAGAAAGAAAGAAAGAAAGAAAGAGCAAGCTGAGTGTGGTGATGCACACCTTTAAACCCACCACTCAGGAGGCAGAGGCAGGTGAGTGAGGCCAGCCTGGTCTATACAGAGTTCAGCTGGAGCTACAGGGAGATCCTGTCTCAAAAAAACAGAAAACAAAAAACATTAGGGTACTAGAGAGATGACTCAGGGGTTAAGAGCACATACTGCTCTCACAAAGAACCCGAGTTCTAGTCCTAGTACCCACAGGGGGCAACTCACAACTGCCTGTAACTCCAGCTCAAGAGGGAACCTCTAACCTTCTTTGGGCATTTGCACTCATGTGCACATGCCCACTCACAGACACACATGCATAGACAATTAAAAATAAATTTGAAGTCCGATGTGATGACACACACCTTTAATCCCAGCACTTGGGAGGCAGAGGCAGGTGGAGCTCTATGAGTTCGAGGTCAGCCTGGTCTACCTAGTGAGTTTCAGGACAGCTGGGGCTACAGGGAGACCCTGTCTATATATATGTAAATAAATAAATAAATAAATAAATAAATAAATTGAATGAATGAATGAATGAATGAATAATCTGAAAAAAATTAAGGCCAAAAAGGAGTCCAAATGATGGTACTTGCCCCTTCAGACACTATTAGTCAGGCCTGTCTATCAAGGGTCCCATCTGATAAGCTTCAAAGATCAAAGAACAGAAGCCAGATCTGTCTCAAAGACAAAGGCCCAGCCATTGAGACATGAATGCAACAAGACCCCTCATAGCCATGTCCAGTATGTAAGGACTCAGAGGCCTGGCATTAGAAGGTAGACTGTCCCTGTCCCCAGAAAAAGAAGGGACAAAACCTAACATGACCACCTTCAAAGATTAAAGTCACTCAACAAAATAGGCAGGTGGACAGCAAAGTAAAAGGCAGCCTTACAGATTCACCAAGAGTTAACCTTGTCCACCCCCCAACAGATAAAGATATGACCTTTTTACTTTTATTAGTACAGTTGTGCCATGTGTGCTTATAATTATTTTCATGTAAGTGTGTGTCATTCTGGGTTAAGACCACATGGGACAAAGCTCAGGCTACCTCTATAATTCACCAAAATAATTGACTAACAAAACCTGTGACCACTTCATTTTTTGTCATTATTTTATTGTTCCTTTTTTTTTTGGTCTTTTTGAGACAGGGTCTCCCTGTAGCCCCAGCTGTTCCTGGAACTCACTATGTAGACCAAGATGGCCTTGAACTCACAAAGATCTACCTGCCTCTGCCTCCCAAGTGCTGGGATTAAAGGCGTGCACCACCACGTCTGGCAACTTCTTTCTTTTTATGGTGTCACACAATTCCTGCATATTCCATTCTTGTGATTTCTTAAATTTTTCATAATCTTTGCTTGAGTGGTCTAGTTCATCCACTTTATCTTCCAGTCTTGATA